CTTGAGGTCTTTGTATACCAGGAGGTTCTGGACTGGCAGCTGTTGTGCAGCCACCTGCACTTCCCCGGACAGCAGGGGAATGAGCCGCACTGGCCAGTCCTCCTCGGGCCACCCCCCGGCCTCTGCCGACCTCTCAAACAGGTCCAGGAACACCTCCGGGTCGTCCTGGGGCCCCATCTTGTGGAGAGGCACATGGGGTAGTGGTGCTGGGGCAGATGTAGGTCCCCCAGCCCGAACCTCCCGGTCAATCCAGCTCTGGAACAGCTCGCGGTCTTCCTGCTGGGCTTGGAGGAGGGCATGAAACCGCCGCTCCTGATCGTCTCTCAGGCCCAGCCGTGCCTGATGGTGCTCCTGGTGAAGACCCGCGAGCGATTGGATGACCTCCGCAAATGGCGATCCTGGGGGGGACTGCATGATGGCAAAGGCGTTCTTCTTCCTTCCCGGGTTTCGGCACCAGTGTAGTAAAGGTTCAAGAGTGTGGAAGGAAGAAGGCAGGGTCGGCTTGCTGGGACGTGAGCTTTATTTAAATTTCTCTTTGCACCGCACACAATACGGCGCCCCTTCAGCGCTGTCAGACTCGCAGTCAATAACTCATAACAAACATAACACAACTTGCTTCCATGTATCTACACCCGTCTCCCCGGGTGGCTCGCGTTCCTAGTCAGTCTCTCTCTCTCATCATGTTCCAGGTGGCCCCTTTTATCCGGTCTCTCCACACCAATTACTGAAACAAGACACAGGTGTGTATCATTTGCGCTTGACATACTTACGCACCGCTCATCTCCTGCCCCGCTCTCTCAATGCAGACCTCGCTGAACCACGCCCCCCTCGCCACAGTATTTTTATTTTTTGTAATGTTACGTTCAAAATAACTACAAGATATCATGCCTTTGAAAAATAAAGAGAACAACAGAATGTGCTGCTTTAGCGCGTCTCGGTCTCCTTGAGCATCTTTCGGGTGCATGCCACAAACATGAACCACAGGGAACACCACCAGCGCACGTTCTCGTTAATGCCCGGCCAGAAAAATCGGGTCATTAGCCGATTCAGTGTCGCTGCTTGCCCCAAATGTCCGGCCATCAGATTACAGTGAGCCGCCTGGAAAAGCATTTCCCGGCAGCTTTTTGGTACTAACAATTGGGTTGTATCCTGCTTTGACTGAGTGTCTTGGGTCACTCGATACAACCGGTCTTTTAAAATAGCGAAACACGGATAGGAGAGCGGTCGAGTGGGTTGAAGAAGCTGTCCGTCAATGACCTGGGTCCCCGCAACGCCAACAGGCCGGTCCAGGCCTCCCCGCCGCCCTAGTGGCAGGAAGTGGGTCAAGGAATTGGTGTGGAGAGAGCGTCGGAACGGGAGCTGCGGTTCAGCGACGTCGGGCGGTGGCACTGGAGGCGTCTTCCTTGGCAGCCGTGCCACGAACTGCTCCAGTACCACTCAATCGATGATTTCCTCGACGTCACTCGTGTCGGCCATCAGCCATCTGCGGCAGGCGTCCCGGAGGCATCACGAAGGGTTGGCCCCCCTTTCCGAGGTCCAGCGACCTGAAGCGCTGGCGATGCTGCTCGGGGCTCCGGCCGACCCGCTGGAGGATGGCGCACTTGAGGTCTTTGTATACCAGGAGGTTCTGGACTGGCAGCTGTTGTGCAGCCACCTGCACTTCCCCGGACAGCAGGGGAATGAGCCGCACTGGCCAGTCCTCCTCGGGCCACCCCCCGGCCTCTGCCGACCTCTCAAACAGGTCCAGGAACACCTCCGGGTCGTCCTGGGGCCCCATCTTGTGGAGAGGCACATGGGGGGGTGGTGCTGGGGCAGATGTCGGTCCCCCAGCCCAAACCTCCCGGTCAATCCAGCTCTGGAACAGCTCGCGGTCTTCCTGCTAGGCTTGGATGAGGGCTCGGAACCGCCGCTCCTGATCATCCCTCAGGCCCAGCAGTGCCTGATGGTGCTCCTGGTGAAGACCCGCGAGCGATTGGATGACCTCCGCAAATGGCGATCCTGGGGGGGACTGCATGATGGCAAAGGCGTTCTTCTTCCTTCCCGGGTTTCGGCACCAGTGTAGTAAAGGTTCAAGAGTGTGGAAGGAAGAAGGCAGGGTCGGCTTGCTGGGACGTGAGCTTTATTTAAATTTCTCTTTGCACCGCACACAATACGGCGCCCCTTCAGCGCTGTCAGACTCGCAGTCAATAACTCATAACAAACATAACACAACTTGCTTCCATGTATCTACACCCGTCTCCCCGGGTGGCTCGCGTTCCTAGTCAGTCTCTCTCTCTCATCATGTTCCAGGTGGCCCCTTTTATCCGGTCTCTCCACACCAATTACTGAAACAAGACACAGGTGTGTATCATTTGCGCTTGACATACTTACGCACCGCTCATCTCCTGCCTCGCTCTCTCAATGCAGACCTCGCTGAACCACGCCCCCCTCGCCACAGTATTTTTATTTTTTGTAATGTTACGTTCAAAATAACTACAAGATATCATGCCTTTGAAAAATAAAGAGAACAACAGAATGTGCTGCTTTAGCGCGTCTCGGTCTCCTTGAGCATCTTTCTGGTGCATGCCACAAACATGAACCACAGGGAATACTCGTCTTTTAAAAGCCTTCATTTAGATGATTTGACATTAAATGCATCATATAAGTCACTTTGGAATAAATCACAGTAGGCCTATGTATCATGATAAAAAAAAGCGACTTTACAGTCTGGAAATGCTTTAAGCTATAGCAAATTATTTCTCGGACCCCCTATCACTTTAAGAACCGCTGGTCTACACAGTAGAAAGCCCTGTCTAGGCTCTGCCCCGGTACGAGTTGTCTCGAGCTATTCGTTAGTCTGTTTGATGAGAAAAATATGAAATGTAGTTGCAATGATTTTTCGTTTTGTTTGAATAATTGAAAAACGAAATATGTGCCGTTTTTCATTTTTCAGATTTCAATATTAAAATAAAAATTGATTGGACGGAAGATACCCTGATTATACACGAATTCCTTTAAGTAATTTTACTTGTCAAGTAAATGCATCCTGATTCAAGAATTTTTAGATATGTATACTAGAAAACAAGACAAAAATACTTAGGAAGAAAATGCAATTATTTTTTTAATCTAACACTAGCATTGTCTATTCTTTTTTATATTGTATCTAATTATTTAATTTGTATGTATTATAAAAATAAAAAAAATAAATAAAAAATAGCTATGTATACTGCGTTAGGCTAACCGAGACTTTTCACAGCACTTATTGCTGCTTTGTGGGTTTTGATGGCTTTATAAAGCTATATAAATGGGGCTATTTAAATAATATTTGACTTTGACTGTGACTGTGATAAGAATACTGTATGTTACTGTATGTTTGTTACTCGTGAAATGATAACATTAACTTGGAACTTGATTTTGTCTTTTATTCCACTAGTGCAGAACTCACACCGTACAAATTTTGGTAGTTGTTGTTGTTTACTTGTAGTTTATAATTCTTGTACATTTATATGTGCATATGTGCGCGGTCAAACTCAGATTACTTAAACAACGAAAACATTACTCACCACGCTGGGAATATGTAGTTTAAATCGTGCTTTCATGTGAAATCATTAGAAATTCAACAAGCTACAGCAGAACAACATGGCCTATCTCTGTCAGCCCTCTCTCTCAGCGATCACCTGATTCCACTGAAACAACGTTCTTAAAGGGGCAGTACTCAACATTGTTAATCGGCCCTTTCGCACCGCTTTAGTTCCAGAACTAAATGTACGGTACTAAAGTACTGGGACGATTTTGCGCGAACTATTTCCCAGTACCATTTAAAGGGTTGCATTCGCACTGACAGTGTGTACTAAGAAGTGACGTAAACCGGTCGACAGCGTCGTCATTTGTGCGCGGCATTCAACAACAGAAACAAAGAACTACGTTAACAACAGGAGGATGGAGGACGCTGTGATCGGAGCAGTGTTTTTGTTGTGTCTCGCGGGTTTCACAATAATGGACATGGAAAATCGACGTATACGTAAAGCGATTGAAAGAACGGAAAGGAGGACTAAGAATCTCCAACGAGTGCTAGCAATGCTACATTTGCTACAAGTGCCTGCACTTCAGCGTCCGTCCGTCTATCGCTGTTCTCCATACTTGCCAAATAAATTGACATGCTTACAGTATGTTTACACGGCGTTTTAAATCATGGCGGGTGAGGGCTTTTTCATACGCGTTTGGCCAATCAATGTCTACTTACGTCACGATTAGTACCAGTTGTGCTGGTTAGACCCTGCTCCGGAGTAGGAGCTAATTTGGTTCTCGAAAAAGGCAGTCCGGTACTAAAATCGCTCCCAGTTCTGGCGGTGCGAACACGCCGAAAAGTGGGTAGTTCCACAATTAGTTCTGGTACTATGAAAAGGTTCCTGCGGTGCGAAAGGCTCTAATGTTACCCTTCCTGTTCTCCAAAACAGGTGTGTTTTATCTGAATTCATTTTTTGATTAAGAGCAGGATTTCCATCCATTAAATATCTAAAGTCATAACACACACAAAAAAAAACATGCAACTAAACAAAACTTCATGTTGCTGACAGTACAAGTGCCAGTCTTCAACACAATTAACACAATTATCACAGTAGAAACTCAACTAAATGTTAAACACTAACAAGTATTTCTCTTTACTCAAAAACACATAAAAAAATCAGTCTCCATTTACTCTCCTAATGCACTCCAAAGAAGAGCACGCTGGGAACTACAGATTCAATATGTCAAAAAAAATTCTACATGCAGGCTTCAAAAAATTAATTTAACTTTAATTTTACAAATTTAAGAGGATTGAAGTGGATCTTAAGTATAGATCAGGAGTTACTAAAGGCCTCTGGGGAAAATAACACCACTTTCAGGGAATGTCAATGTCAATAACAAGTTTTCAGGTAATGTTTTACTAAAGTCAGGATTGTCTTGATGTTTAATTGAGAAATGTTCTTGTGAACAATTATAAATGTATGTTAATTATTTTAATTAGGAAGCAATATTTCTCAATATTTGTCACAGTCTATGAGCAGAGCAAGGAACATAAGTTCCCTTAAATTGAAACTTTTGTTTTTTTTGAGAAGGCATGCAGTTAAAATTAATTAAAAAGAATGAAAAGACATTGATAGACACATTGCATTATTTAGACCTGCACACATAACTTCTGTATGATAAAAGGAATCACACAATGTTATACAAGCACAGCCTTTAATAAAGTAAAATGTACAGACACAATCATACTGCATACAATGTATCAGTAATAAAATACTCCTGGTTGGCTGACTGAAAACAATTCACTTACAGTTTCATTCCTTAAATGTATGTAGCAGTGTTTCTCAACTTTGTTTTTGGAGGCAAACCAACATTATATATTTTCAAACTCGTCCTAATCAAACACACCTGATTTAACTCATCAACTCAGTCGTAGAGACTCCTAGACCTGAAATGAAATCTGTCAGAAAAGGGAAGCATCCAAAATAGTGCTGCAG